TTTATCGTCCCCCAGAGCCTTCGGTGGCTCTGTGGCTATCACAGAACCTGAAACCCAATCACTGTTCTTCTCCGGGCTTTGGGGAAGTGAAGCCATGGGTGTGTTTGTCATTTTTAGCTGTCATTGGAGCTGGGCCAGCACTCCAGGAGACGGTGGAAGCGTTTCGGATCGCCTGATTGGCTGTCGGAATAAGCTGGTAGACAAAGCCGCCGCTGGTCACTGAGTGCCAGGGACCTTCTAGAACTCCGGTTGGGTGGGAGACCGTCCAGCGTGTCTCTCAGCTCGGAACTAGGACAGAAAGGTACAGATTCGAAGCACAATGGGGGCCGGTGACAGAGCAGCCGATGAAAGGGCCCTGCTCCCCGCCCTTTGTCTGGGAGTCTCGCTCCCACAGACACAGCCTCACTGGCTCTCTTTGTCACCCAGGGCTGTCCTGCCTGGCCACATTCACTAACCAGCGGAAGAGACACCCCAGAGCGGCCGGGGCTCAGAGCTGTCCGCCACACAAAGCGGTCTTGTTCTCTGGATTAGGGACAGTGACTTAGTCGTGCGCCATGGAGTCCGTTACAGCTTGTAGTGACCACGTACAACTGGACAGTGCCCCGCCCCGTCCCCACCACCACGGCTGTGCTTGAACCCATGGTGGCAGGCACTTAACGCTGTCTGTCACTGACCCTCTGGAGAAGCTGATTCTTTGTTTAGAGAGTTCAGACGAAGTCCTGGAATCGGTACTTTGTGGAGACAGAGACCGTTTTTCTCACTCACAAAACTAATTTTCAGAGCACCAGAAAATATCACTCTTTCAAAATCAAGGTGTCCTGGTGGCGCAGTGGTCAGAGAAGCCGGCTGCTGAGTGAAAGGTTGGGTCCAGCAGCCGCTGTGCGGGAGAAAAGATGAAGCTGTGTGTGTCCCCCCACCCCGTAAAGATTTACACCCAGAAAGCTGAGGAGAGCCTCTGTCAGTCGGAGTCCACTCAGTGGCCGCAGGTTGGCGAGGTTTTCTCAGGACTCATCTGGAGGGCAGGTGGGCTCAGGAGGTATCAACAGTCAGACTAGCGGAAGGGAAGGGTAAGCAGGCTGAGAGCGAGCCCGGGCCGTGAAGTCACTGCATGGCTAGATTAACCTCCGTTAGTGCCTTCAGGAGTGAATTTACTTCTGCTCTGGTTTCCATCTCTGTCAGAGAGAGACTGACCCATTGCCTCGAGCTACAGGGAAAATGGTTTGAGACAGTAAAAGGAGCTGTGTACAGACTCAGAGGAAGCAGCTGGGACCACTCACCTTCCCTAGGGGAGCAGGAGGCCGGAAGCACCTGGGTAGCCCCCCAGCCCACCCAGGAGTCACCGCTTTGGTACAGAATCCTTCTCCAGCCCTTTCCAGGACACTTTGGCTCTGATCATTACAATAAACCTGTATGAAATGAGAGCAGGATTTATTGAGCCTTCCTGTAAGCACAATACTCTTTATATGCATGTGTCTGTTGTTGTTAATTGCCGTTGAGTCATAGGCAACTCAGCAACCTTACGAACGAAAGTCCTCGACACTTGCGTGCGTGACTTTCATCCTTTCTCCAGGTTCATAGGGTTTCCAGAGGCAAGCTATTTTTTTCCGTCTTTTTCTTTATTTATTTAAATTCATTATTAATTTCAGTAAAAATTTACAGAGACTTTGGATTTCCATTCATTCATTGTTGCATTTTTCTCCCCTCCCAGCTCTCCCCCCTAGCACACTACCCTCTTGGAAAACTTAAAGACAAATTCTTTCATTGTTTTACAAACCCTCCCCCAGGTCTACTTTACCATGTAGCCATCGCTCTGGACTCCTGTCATGACAATAATACCTAATCCCATAACCCTTTTAAACAGTTTTCTCCCTCATCTGTTTCAATGCAGTATACATTATTGAACCCATCTTTCTCAGTCTCTCCCCAACCCCAAGGTCAGTCCTGTTTTACAACAGTGGCACTATACAGTATTTGTCCTTTTGTGACTGAGATACTTCACTCAGCATAATGTCAGAGGCAAGCTATTTACGGAAGTGGATGCCACTCCTGCTTCCAAGCTTGTTGCAACCAGAATGTGCCACCAAACACTGTCGACCATGGGTAACTGTTATCGCATTTGACACATCAGTGTCACAGGGTTCAGCTTCACAGCAACCACGAGTTACCTCTGTACGGCAAGTGGACACACCAGGACTATACAACCTAGAAGAATGTTTGACCAACAAGAGTTAAATTATATAGGGAAATATGCCAGTCTCTTAAAAGAACTGCTTTTTTTTTGGTAAATTTTTTTTTAGGTAAAAAGATTTATTAGAAAGTTACAGCCCTAAAGAGTTGGGGGCGTCCTTCTTTGAGAGAAAATATATGAAGGAGAGGCCTTTTTTTTTTGTTTAACTTCTTAATGGGATCTGTGAAAGTTTACAGAGCAAATTGGGTTTCCATTCACCCACCCATACCCAATTTCTTTCTTGACACTGTTGCAGTCTGTACACAGGAGCAGCAAGCACTCTTCCCACGTCCTCCCTGTGGTTACCATTTCTCCTCATCCTTCCTTCCCACCCTTGCCTGCGTTCTGATTTTCATCCCAAGAAGTGACAGCTTTCGCTCCTTCTGCCATCCGGATGCCTGAGAAAAGCAAAGGCCTTTGGGCCCCGCCGCACTCTTCACAATTCTCTTTCTCCGTATCATTCCTTTACCAGATGGCGGCGTAGCCTTCTGCCACGCCTCACGTTCTTACCCCGGGCTTTGTGTTCAGTAATCTGCCCTCCTTCCAGAAGGCTTCACGCCCCAAGAAGGCAGAGCTTAACCCATTTCACCTCCTGACCCTCCCGGCACCTTACGCGGGAACTTGAACACTTTACCACCGATCTGTCCGTCTGGCCCCTGAGAGGCGGTCCTAACACTTGGAAGGCGTGTTGGCAATGTGGCCGAGACAGCAGATGCTCCTATTCAAATCCACAAAACTGGAAACGCTCAAAATCAGCACTCCTGACATTGATGGATGGCGAGATTGGCTCGCCCAGACTGTTCAAGTCAGCGCGGCTATCACAGACGCAGGCTTGCCAGGGTCTTTCCATTCTGCGTTGCACCCTCCCCCCTCCCCCCCCCCCCCCCCCCCCCCCGCCATTCATTCCTTTGTTGCTGCTGTTTCGTTTTTATTGCATAATCACAACAAGCCTTAACCCTGAAATGCAGGTGAAGCTGGAGGAGGACCAGGAAGCATGGGACCGGCAGAACAGAAGTGAGGGAGAGCGCAGAGGGGTGGCAGGCACCCCAGAGCAGGGGACGCCCGAGCTGTAGAGGAATGGCCCGGTGCTGGAGATGGGTCAGGAAGCACAGAGCAGCACATGGCCCTGTCCACAGTCAGCCCCGACCATCTCTCTGGGCTTGCCACACCTGCACCTTTACCCTTGGCCATCCAACCCTTAGCATGCAGGGGAAAGCCCAGAGCCATTCCTAGTGGGTCCAGCAATTGCCATGGACAGGATGCCACGACCTGTGTGCTTTGGGGTGATGTTACCCTCAAGTGTCCCCACACAGCTGGACTGACCAGCAGGAGGAGCCCCCACCCTGGCCATGTCAACCCAGGAATAATCTGTGAATGCAGGAACCCTCACGGCCAGGACCTTCCACCCAGGACTCTGAGCGTGTTTTCTGCTGCCTTTGGACTTGATCTGCACACATCTTGGACATCAGCCCAGGGGCTCGTCAGAACAGCAATGTGGAAATACCCTGGGCTGGGGGCTTGACCACGGCTGGGCGCAGCGAAGGCAGTTGACTCTGTGGAACGAGGCGGCGGGGTCTGCAGAGCCAGCAAGATTCTCTGACATTGAAAGCGCGTCACTTCATCACTTGACCCAGATCCTAGCCGCTGAATGATGAGCTCTGTATCAGATCTCAGCTCTGCGCCTTTGCCTTCACACTAAAGCTGCCCTTCCTGTGAGAACAGCACCTCTGAGTACTGGGGAGATATTTTAGGTCTGCTATCTGATAAATAAGCCTGGAGGGCGTCATGCTGAATGAAATAATCAGTCAAAGAGGACAAACTCTGCAGGAGTCCAGGGTAAATAGTTAGGAGCCCACGGAGTATGACTCTGTCTTTCTGTTGGGTTTCCAGGCCGTAAATCCTTACTGGAACAGGCTGCCTCATCTTACTCCTGCAGGGCAACCAGTGGATTCGAACTGCCAGTCTTTTGGTTAGCAGCAGCCTGACACCGCCAAACCCAGTGTACAGTAGTTCAGTGCACGGCTGCTAACTAAAAGGTCAGGGGTTCAAACTCACCAGTGACTGGTGCTAGAGAGAAAAGGCCTGGCCATTTACTTCCAAAAGGATTGCAAACCAAAGCCAGGCCAGTGGCTACCGAGTCGATGCTGACACGTAGGACCCCAGAGGACAGAGGACAGCTGCCCAGAGCTTCATTTTCCAAGAGTGGCTGGTGGGCTCGAACCACTGAACTTTCCGTTAGCTCACTGCTGCACCACCACTTCACCTTCCCATAAAAATTGATCTCTGGGTTGGTTCTAGCTCACGGCAACCCTCCAGGATAGGGCAGAACTCCCTGACAGCTTCCTGCCGTGGAATCGGAACCAACTCGGGGCTGACCCTCCCGCGAGTTTTCAGAGGAGGTAAATTGTAGATGGGGGATTCAAACTGCCTGCCTTTGGGTTGGCATCGCAGCAAGGCCACCACAGGGTTGCCACATCTTTCTGGCAGCAGAGACACATCTTTCTGTTCAAGGCACCGACCATTCTGTCCACTGCCGAGGCTAGAGCCACTGTGCCACCCTGCCCCTCCTGGAAAGGTGACAGACTCGGAGCCCCGTGAGACAGCTGCCGCCGGCCCGCACAGAGGGTCACCGGGAGCAGTGTCCACAGCAGGCTCTTTGGAGGGGTGGAGTTCCGGTAGAAAACAGGCTTTCAGAGCAGCAGTGGGCAGGGCAGGGCTGGGGAGCAGGGGTCCGGCTGGCTGACCTGTCTGCCCTCGTTTCTGAATCCCCTAGGTGGCACAGGCCGGCCTTGGACCCTCTGCAGGCAGCCTGCAGGACATCGGCCTCGCCCCTCTGGTCAGGGCGGCACACCGCGTCCTCCATGGGCTCCTTGGCTTTATTTCTTCCCCTCCGGGTGTCGTCCTTGAGCAAGGCCGGTGCGGGGCTGCAGGGCCTCGGGCAGTGGGACGTGCTAGTGCGGCTGTCCCGAGGTATTGCTATCACTCCGGGCCAGCTGGCGGACAAGAAGGGCCAGCCTGCGCTGCCCACGCTGCAGGAGAGCGAGCTTGAAGAGCAGTTTGTGAAAGGCCACGGCCCCGGCGGCCAGGCCACCAACAAGACCAGCAACTGCGTGGTGCTGAAGCACCTCCCCTCGGGCATCGTGGTGAAGGTAGGGACAGGCTCGGGCCCAGTGCGGCCAGGCTACTCCTCCTCTCCGGGCTTCAGCTTTCCTGAGTGGGCTGACGGGACCCGCCTCCCACAAGCCTTGTGCAGAGGCACTTTGGTTCCTAGAGGGCAAAACCCCTTATGGTTAAGCGCTCAGCTCCTGACCCAAAGGTCGACTGTTTGAATCCATCCACTCCACTTGGCAATCTGCTTCATAAAGACCTTCACATGAGCAGACTGCACATCTTTCTCCACTGAGCACCCCATTTTTCAGCTAATGGCCAAACACTTCACCCACTGAATCACCCGGGCTCCCCTTTCTGGGAAGATAACAGCCTGTGGGACAGCTCTGCTTTACCTGGGGATGGGCATCGACCCCGCAGTGCCCAGGGACTCTGGCTGGCTGGTGTGTGTGTCTGTCTGTCTGTCCTTGCTGCCTGGTGCTGCCCTCTACCAGCCTGGCCCTGGATCCTTCCTCCCGCCGGTACCTGAGGCCTGGGGGTCCTACCTGAGACCTCCACCAGCTCCGCCCCGGGTCAGTGGGCACCACTGTGTCTGGATGCTCCCAGCCCTGCAGATGGTCAGAGGGTGTGCCGAGCCCCTGCCCACAAGCCCTCAGCCCCACTGACCTGGGTGGGCACCTCCTCTTATAAACCCCAGGGATCCCAGCCCGAGTGGAGGCCAGTGCTGGGTCTGGAGCCTTCCTCCTTGCATAAAAATGCAGCTCTGAGGGAGCTCTGGTGGCCTAGTGACAAGAAGCTGCACTGCAATCCCAGAGGTACGCGGTTCGAATCCACCAGATTCTGCTGGAGAAGGAGGGGCAATCTCCTCCTGTACCAGTCAGATCTGATTTGACGGTACAGACAAAATAATTTTTTTTAAAAAAAAAAAAGCAGCTCTGATCTAAAAGCAGTGCAGCTCGCCACCCCACCCTCCAGCTTTAAGCCAAATGATAGGCTGGCTTGTAAGGTGAGCAACAACACACCAGCATATATACTTCCTACCGTTAACCAGAGAGAGTGATCAGCTGGCCCAGTGCACAGAAAGCGATGCTGCCAAGCCAAAGGTGGGTGGCTTTTCATCCGTGGCCCTCGGGCCTGTCTTTCATTGGTTTTGTTCAGACATTCCTCTAGGTTGTATAGCCCTGGTGTACAAGTTGCCATACGTGGTTGCTGTGAGGCTGAACACTGTGACACGGATGTGTCAAATGCGTTAAAGTTGACTACCCAACGCAGACAGAGTGGGGTGGAGCTCCCCGATTAAAACAAGCTTGGAAGGAGGAGTGGCATCCACTTCCATAGTAGCTTGCCTCTGGAAACGCTATGAACCTGGAGAGAGGATGAAAGGCACCCAAGCTTCGAGGACTCTCCTTCATAGGGTCGCTATGAGTCGCCTGACTCAACGACATTTAACAACAACAACTGTTAACCAGACAAGAGCCAGGGGCAGTGTCTGCCCAGGGAGAGGCCACAGCCTCGGAAGCTAAGGCATCTCCCTTCTGCCCTCACAGGGTCACAAAGAGCTGGAATCAGAGTGATTTAACCCCCCAGCACTCGAAACCTGCCTTTACTACTATTCTTTCATCCTAATTGCTTAGAATTTCTCTTACCAAATCTTTTTTCAATCTTATTTTTCCAGTCCTCACCCACAGTAATTCCGGTCTTACGTAACCTGGCTGCAGACTAGATGACCCGTGGGTGGCTCAACATCATTTGGGGACTTTGAACTATTTGAAGGCTGCCATTGCTTCTAAGACCTCTGGGCTACTGACCTCAAGGTCACAGGTTCTGACCCAGTCAGCGCACCACAGAAGAGAGGCTTGGCAGTTCGCTGGCATAAAGCCCACAGCCAGGAATCGCAGTGGCTGTTCCACTCTGTGGCATACAAGGGTGGCAGGAGTTGGCTCCCCTCCACAGCCACCGGTATGACCTTTGGGTTTGCTTCCAAATAAACAGAAAACCACCACTGCTAATCCTGAGACACTCAGCGAAGGCCTTGTCCCAGAGCCGGGGCCAAGTCACAGCAGCACAGCTGGCTCTGGTCACTGACTCCCCAGGAACCTCAGCAGGTATGACGCTGCCTCTGGGCCCGCTGACCAAATGAAGCCCAGAGCCTGAGTCTAAGGGGGCCCTGTCCACTTCCCGAGGCCGAAGTTTCACATTCCAAACCATCTTCCTTTACAGTGTCACCAGACGAGATCAGTGGATCAGAACCGAAAGCTGGCTCGGAGGATCCTGCAAGAAAAACTGGACGTTCTCTCCAACGGGGGGGACAGCCTGGTCCAGAGAGAGAAACGAGAGGCCACGAAGAAAAAGCAGGAGAGGAAAAAGAGAGCCAAGGAAACCCTGGAGAAAAAGAAGCACCTGAAGGAATTGCGGGAAGCGAGCGAGAACGCCCAGGAGGGGGGCTGAAGCCCAGCCAGGCCCCACAGAGCCCTCGGGACAGTGGCCTCCTCCGGTGTTAGCAGAGAGCTTTGTTTTGTTTTTATTGTGTACATCAAAGCTTACTGCTTTTCCATTCAACCCCTCACACACATTTTGGTTTATGACATTAATTACAATCCCCCCCCCCACTGTAAAGCAATCTCCCTGCTCCCTCCCTGTGATTCTCCTTTCCACTAATCCTTCTGTCCTTCTCCTTCCTGCCTTCGGAATGAGAGAGCGTATAAGAAAATATTTTATGACAATTACTTTTTAAAAAAATGTCTTTTTTTCTTGACAAATTACTTTTCAGAGACATTTTTCTAAAACGTGGATGACACTGAACTGGTTACTAGCAGTGCTTCTTTTGAGAATATTGTCACGAACCATCAAGTTGGTACCGACCCAGAGCTGACCCTCTGGCGGGTTTTCAGAGGCAGTTTGACCACCCGGGAGGAGATTACCCATCTCTCTCACAGTAGTAGCTGGGAGACTTGAACCGCGTGCGTTTACAGTTGCAGTGCAGCTTCTTGCCACTAGGCCACCAGAGCTCCACTGTGAGAATAAAGCTACATAAATGCAAAATGATTCCTGTCACCCTGTGGGGTGGAGGGGCCTCCTGGGTGGCTGGTGATGTTCTGTTTCGGCCTCTGAGGCAGACAGAAAGGTACTGACCGTAGGCTACTTCTGCAAGCCCTACATGTGCCAGGGAGTTTCTGTGCCTCCCTTACTGTTGGGTACGCCAGAGCTGATTTAACTGGTGCCAACCCCTCGTGACATATAGAACTGTCCTTCCCAGTGGAACAGAACCAAACACTGCCCAGCCCTGTGCCATCCTGACACCCCACTGAGCACTTAACTGTGACACCAGGACACCAAACTTGATCATAAAAGGTTGGAAGAGAAAATAAGTATTTTTTAAAAACAAATCCTCATGTGCATTTGTGTATGCATTTTTACTTTGATTCGAGTGAACATTTACAGAGCAGACTGCTTTCCTTGCAACCATTCAGATGCCTTTTGTTTCCTGATACTGATTACAAACTCCATGTTGTAACCACTCTCCCCACTTCCTCCCTGTGGTTCTCGTTTCCATCCAGCCTTCCATTCTCTCTCTGCCTGTCTGTCGAACCTGTTACCTGCACAAATGCGGCCCTTTTGAGCTTGGCCTGACTGTTCTGAGGATCCCATTCACCTTACTGTTTGGCTGAGAGTTGTGTATTGTGGGGGCTATGGTGCTGGAGAAGAGTATTGAATGGACTGCCAAGAAAACAGATTCATCGTAGAGAGGATTAAACCAGGCTGCTCCTTGGAGGCAAGGATTCTGGGGCTTCGTCTGACATACTTTGGACATGTTGCAAGGAGAGACAGGTCTTTAGAGAGGGACATCATGCTGGGTAGAGTAGGGGGACAGCGCAGGAGGGGAAGACCCTCTATGAGGTGGATTGATTCAGTGACTGGGGTAATCGGGATGGGAGTGTCAGAGGCAGTGCGGTTGGCACAGGATAGAGCACGGTTTAGGGCTATTGTACATAGGGTCGCTATGAGTCGCAAACGACTCGACGGCACATAACAACAACGACAACAGAAGTATGATTTGAGTCAGTGTTTACTAAGCATCAGCTTTGCCTTGGGGACAAACTGTAGAACTGGGTCAGACATTAATAGGATCTTGTGGCACCTTGTCATCTGCTCCAGGACACTCAGATGTCTGTTATTATAATGTCAGGTGAAGAGAATGAGGCAAAAGGTGGGGAAAGATTTAAAGGTTAATGAGTTATTTGCCTGTTTAATCCATTAGCTAATAGATGAGGCAGCGCCCTGAAACAGGGTGGAGGAGGAACACCCATCAGCTCCTGGATGATCTGCCAACAGATTTCAAAGATGAGGTCTCTGAAACCTGGCTAGTTTGTAAATTTGTAACTCAGCTGGATTGACCAATCGTTAAAACAGCAGCCATGGATTAAACTGTGTCCCCCAAAAGGAGTCAATTCGGTTGGACCATGATTGGGCAGTTATGTAGTGACGTCATCACCCCATGATGTGATAAACCAGTCAGCTGTGTGAGGATTAGGGTGGCATGTCACTCCCTGACACAGGTCACCACTCTGCTCCAACTTGAAGGAAGTCTTTTTCGCAGGTGGAGCTCACAAGAGACCCCAGGACCCACAGTGACCCGTCTTTGGGGTAGGCTTGCCTCTTGTCCTTCAGCCATCTACTGTCCACCTACACACCAGCTCAGAGCCTGGGTCAGCACCCAAGAGTCTCACGAGAGGAAAGAAGTGGCTGCCTGACCACCGCAAAGCCAGGAGCAAAGTCTGGTTTTGGACCCAAGGAACCTGTGCTGGGTCCAAAACCCAGCTTCCCTCACGGAAAGACTGAAGCCAAGATTTCCCAGGAATGCAGGTGCTGCAGAGTCAAGACCAAGTCCTGTCTCGTCCCCTGGTCACTGCCCTCCTGACCTGTGACAGAACATCTGATGAAGACACCCACTTGAAGTATCTGTTACAGCAGCTCTAGACTGTAACCCCTTACCGTTGGGGTGAGAGTGGGCACAGCTAATGGTCTCTTTTATCAGCACACACACAGCATTTCTGCTTGACACCCAAGTGCATCCACTGTGAGGTGATGTCCACTCACTCCCCAGGAACAACTCCTGGGTAGGAATGTACCCCTCAGTGGCAGGGAGCTTACCTCATGGTTGAGAAGCCAATCACGTCCTCTGCTACCTGTCTATCCACCAGACACCCTGGGAGCCTCTATATTCACCTCAAAATCCCCTCGAAGGCACTGCGGGGCCTGTCTTGTGTGTTCTCCAGACAGCGCCGCCCTGCTCTCCCCGAGGGAGCAGAACACTCAAGTGGGAACGGAAGACGAGGCTTTGCTATCCCTGCCTCCAAAGAACACTCTGGTTGCACTTGTCCAAAGTCTGACTTATTCATCCTTATTCACTGTCCAGCCTTGAGGAGCACAGCAAGCGACTGAAAAGACAGTCGGTCACAAGACCTGCCCTGTTTTCCTAACAGACGCTTATGACTGCCAACATCAGGACACCTCCTCCCCTGACCCCCTACCTCGGACGTCGGCCAACAGGTGTGTTGCCGTCATAAGAGCATGCCCCCCCAGGATGGAAGGGACGGGGGGGGACGACGGACGACAGTCCCTATTGCTCACCGACTTGAAATGCCAACTCAAGAACACGCTTTGATACCAACGGTTAATGAAAATAAGCTTTATTACCTCAAGTAATAAATACATACAAAGATGCCAACACTGTGAGTCTTTTTCTTCCCCCGATGGTGTGTGATCAACATTAACGCACAACTGAAATCACCAAGACTGTCTCTGTGTGAAAATTCTCAGGGGGTGGGGGGGTCTTTGATGCATTTGGCCTGATGTTCTTTGTATTTATAACTTGTGCATTTATATATATATTTTTTTAATTGACTTTAAAGCACTCTAAATCATGCAAATGCTTAAGCAAGAGTTTTGTTGAGCAGAATCTAGGCTGGATGGCCACTGGAGGGCTCAGATACTAAGAAAGCGCGCGGTCAGTATTCATGGAACAAACAAGATCTTGAAGGCTGCTATGAGCTTATGGGGCGAGGGGTGGGGCGAGGACAGTCTCGGTGACCTTCACGTAAGCGGAAGAGCAGAGGGAGATGAGACACACGGGAGCTACAGTTTGCCACAGAACTGGTCACTTTGCTTGCTGTTTGTAAATCAAGACTTGGGAAGGGAGACCCAAACCTGGGGAGTGCCTATCTACTGAAAACGCACATCCTACGCAAACGCAAACCCTCCCACCCTCAGAGACGGGAGGTTCACGGCCCGTGAACCAGAGAAGGGAAATGGGAAAGAGAAAAAAAAAACAGGGAAAGTCAGCACTTTGAAAACAAAGAAAACAGGAGATTGAGTGAGTGGGCCCTTCTCATCCTGGGAAGAGATGGAAAATCCCGAGGGCCAGCGAGGCACTAGGATCTGGCGTTGCGTTCGGTCTCGGCCAAGCACTCCCGGACCAGACCTCTGGCGTGAATGATGCCTGGAAGGGAAGCAGAGGCGGAGATGGACCCTCCAGACACGGACGGGCAGGAGAGGGGACAGCCCTGCCAGCCACGGCACCTTCCCCTGACAGGAGCTCAGCACCTCACACAGCTCAAACCTAACTGAACAAAAAGCCCAAACCCTTTGATGTACAGTGGATCCCAATCATAGTGGCCCAAATGGACTGGGCAGAATTGTCCCAGAGGGTGTCTAAGGCTGTATTCAGAACAGAAGACCATCTCCCCCACTCCCAGGTGGTACAGTGGATAGGTATCTGAAAGGTCTGCAGTTCAAACCTACCAGATGTCCCAAAGACCAAAGTGAGGCAGGCAGCTCCTGGGAGACTGCTTCAGTCCTTAGAGGAGCAGAGTAAGGTCAAGGTCACTGCCTTTGCTCAAGGATAAAGCCCTGAAGGCAGGATGAAGGGAAAGAGAACTACAGAGAGGGAGTAGGAAGCACGTGACTTCTTCACAGATGCTATAATTATTGTTATAAAACCAGTGTGAACAGAAGAAAATTTGCTTTGTAAACTTTCTCTCAGATTGGTTCGGTCTGGGTTAGTTTTTCTGGAACCACACAGTGAGTGGAGCAGGGTGGATCCGAACCATCAATCTTTTGACTAGCCGCTGTTGATCCCCTGTGCCACCAGGGCTCTCCCCAGCAGGCTTTTCTCTTACAACTTCTCACTGGGGTTCAAGACTATATAACTCCAGTCAACGATTCGTAAGCATTCTGTTTCTGAGGGCTGCTGAATCCCACCTAGCCTCTCCCTCCCAGCCCAAATGCCTCTCTTTGTCCCGACCCGAGCCTTTCTAAGGAGCTCTGATGGCCTAGTGGCAAGAAACGGTGCTGCAATCCCAAAGGCATGCAGTTTGAGGCCACCAACTGCTTCGCAGGAGAATGAGTAATTCCTCCTGTGCCATCCGTTAACTGCCTCTGAAAACCTGCTGGAGGGTCGGTTCTGAGTCACTGGTACACAACAGCGACACCCCAGAAGACAAGCAGCGAGCGCCCCTGTAGGACCTCCTGGTGGCTGATGGAGGGCCTGTGGTGCAATGGTTAAAGCACTCTGCTGTGCTTACCAAAAGGGGAGTGGGCCAAACCCCACAGCCCCTCCGCTGGACAAAGTCGAGGCAGCTGGCCTCCTTCCCGCCCTCTGGGTCACAAGTGATACCCCACAGAGCTGCGGGCGGCAGAAGCCAGATTCACTCCGATCACAGCACTATTCCATGTGGCCCCAGCCTCTCCCTGAGGCAGGAGGCTCCCATATGTACTTCCTGTTCAGAGCGACACACTCCCTGGAGGCAAAGGTGCTCTGGGAGGAGGGGGGTTCCCCATGAGGACTGGGGGGAGCACAGGTTGGGCTAGCGCTGACTGACCTGGAAACTCCCACGGGAAGACGCCCATCAGGCAGAGCCTGCTGCAGGGACCCCAGCCGCCCGCCCACCTGCCCCACGGACGTCTGCAGGGACCCCAGCCACCCGCCCACCTGCCCCACGGACGTCTGCAGGGACCCCAGCCACCCGCCC